CTTCTATTTGATTCCAATAGGAGCAAGACATGAAAAGAAAATCCATATTTGGTATATAGGCTGGAATGTCTTGTCCCAATATACCCAAGTTGTACCCAAGTAAATAATTGTAAGGTAAAAGAATATGCAATTACAGGCAGCCCTAGTACAAAAATGTCTGGGTTACAAATGTTCCTTTTTACACTTTTTTCTCTTGAATTTTGAGCCTGTTTTCCTGTAGAAACAATGCGATATAACATGGTTATGGACCCACGTCAGCTATTGCAAAATGCCTACTTAGCACTCCACAGAGTACACCTAAAATTTTAAAAGTACTGGCCTGAGTTCTGGGTCTCAGAAGCAGCAAGCACAGCAGAGAAAATAATGAAGAAGAGACACAAAAATAAGATTGTGCTCCTCATCCCAGTTCCCACCGTAGCCAAAATTAGGACAGAGGAACAAACGCTTCTATTCTGAGACCCCAGGGCTCGTAAGTTTACTTTTGCCCCTTATGACCATAATATATTACTCAGATATATTGATTTCCTCAAAAATAAGCCACACTACAGAATTATCTCCTGTTCGTCTCCCTCAATCATAGCTTTAACTCTTAGCTGTCGCTAGAAGGTGTGAGGCAGAAAGCAATCTGATGGAACCAACTCATACTAATGTGTAAATGACTGATTTCTACATCATTTATATACACAACACACACAAACATATGCACACATACAGTTGCATTATTTACGTGTCAGCTAGGCATCATTCTAGGAGCTGGGGATACAATAGAGAGAGAGAGAAAAAGGGCAAGGTTTCTACTCCCATGAAGCTTACATATCAGTGAGGAGGGCTAGCCAATTATAACTCAAAAATAAGTAAACCAAAAAGTCCAGAAAGTAATAAATACTCTACAGAAAATAGGGTGCTATAATGCAGAAGAACTGGTTGACCACTTCACATTGCATGGTTAGGAAAGTGACATTTGAGATGAGATATAATTGAAGACAAAGAGCCGGTCTTGTGTAAATGAAGAGCAAAAGCATTTTAGACAGCTAGTGCCACCCTGAGAAAGGAATGACCTTGGTGCAGGGAAGACAGTAAAAAGGCCAGTGGGGCTGAAGACCAGTGGGCAAAGAGGAATCCAGAACGGAAAGACAGGCAGGGGCCTAATCACTTAGGTCTTTGTCAGCCAGAGTGATGCTTTTGAAGTTTATCCTAAGTGAAAGAGGAAGCTGCTGGAAGAGTGTAAGCCGTAATGTGGTCTGATTTACAGCTGAAAACAATCCCTAACAGAAGCGAGGAGACAGATAGGAGGTTACTGCAGAGGTCTGAGCGGGAGAGAACAGTGCCTTGACTAGGAAGGTGGTGGTAGAGAGAGAGCTAAGTGGGTCCAATGGAGATACACTCTAGAGGAAAGATCTGCAGGAATTATAAATGGATTGACTCTGGGGATGAAGAGAAAGGAATCAAGGACACCTGGGGTGGATGATGATACTGCTGTTCTGAGAAACGCAAGATCTGGCAAGAATAGGCTCGGCTGAAGGATAAGGTGGTTAGGCAGTGGACAGCCACAGTCCTATTTTGGACACGGTAATTTTGAGCTGCAATTTTCCCAGCCAGCGTTGACACAGGCAAGGCAGTTGGTATGTGAATGGAGAGCTCAGGAGAAAGTCCAGGCTGGCGATTGACATTTGGTAATCGTTGGCATATTGCTTTAAGCCATGGAAACTGATGTGATGGTCTAAGGAGTGGGCATGGACCAAGAAGAGAAGAGGGCTGGAGACCAGGCTCTGGCTCACTCAACACTTAGAGGTGGGAAGAGACTGTTCGGAAAGTCCCCTCTTCTCCAGACAGGCAGAAGAGTGATTCTGGAAAAGAAGGCCCTTCCTCTACAAACAGGTATGGTCTTTAAGCTCTCATCGGCATACCTAAGGCTGAGGGGCAGTGAAGACCCTCAGGAGTCCTTCTCTCCCAGTAGATTATAACGACCATTTGTTACCAGTTCATATGAGGAAGAAGCTCTGCCTCACCTGGAAAGTCATAAGCTCTGTTTTCCATAAATTTTGAAGGATATGGTAAAAAAAAAAAAACTTTTAATGAGATATATAGATATCTAGAGGACGAGTAGCATAAGTTTTCAATGCCTGTCAGGCCATCACAATCTAAGAATCTCACCTAGAAAGAAGCAGCACACCTCAGACACTAGCCAGAAGCCTTTCTACTTTAGGAAAAGTGTCAAGACATCAGCCCAGAGAAAAAGCTGGGCCCCAGGGCAATGCCGATTAAGGCTAGGCTACAAGTGAAGAGAATTCCTTTTCTTTTTTCTTCTTCTGCCTGTAGCAACCGGGCTTCGTCATCTGGGAACAAAAACATCTTTTCTTTTTTTTTTTTTTGAGGAGTCAGGAGATATAACAAATCACTGCTCTGAATCATCAGAGTTGAAGAATAAAGTCAAATATAATGTTCGTTCAGCGTCTTGTTCAATTTGCACAGCTTTTTGGCCAGGGGAGAAATGTCTGTTTATATACATACGATTATCTGAGATTACCTGTGAATATATTGTTTGGGGAGCATGCTGCACAGTTAATATCGCAGCAAATTACAAGAATTCTCACAAAAACAGAGCAAAGAAATGTGTTTCCCAGTAGGAAGAATTTATGGCAGTGCAAGGAGACCATTTTGACAACTAAGATTCCGCTGTGTTCTCCCCGACAGGCTCTCTTACCTCTTGATGCCCCTGGGTTCTGAACCAGTTTTAAGTGGCAGAACACAAGACTCCGCCAAACACTAAGGTTTAATCCACATTTCATGTTACGGGAAAAAAAAATTAATCATATGGCTGCCATACTTTTCAAAAGAGTTTATTAATACAAGAGATGCACAGAGCCATTTGGGAAGATGGGTATATAGAAAAAGAAGCCAGGTATTGCGATGAGGAGTTGGAAAATTAAAAAATCACATTTTTAGAAACAAGGAATTGATATAGGAAAATCATTTTTTTTTGTCCTTTTGAAAGCAAGAGATAGATTTGGTAGGACCAACTGCTGACTTTCCAGAAAGGCAGGCTGATTTTCAGTAACTGTCATGAGAGACCTAATTTTGCCTTCATTAACATAATTTGCACATACTGTCCTCAAGGGTTAAACCATAGCCAACAGCGTGTGCCAACTTGGGCACCATTTGTTGCAGTGATTCAAGCCTTAGGGAAAGTAGACCCTAAAACATATTTTCCTACAATAACCTCAAGAGAGAGCGAAGGATAACGCTCTCTAAACAAAGCAACTTGAAATATGAATATTTAAAGTTTTTCCTCCTGCTTGATACATTTCTGGTCATTTTTGGAACAAATTCAAAATAAATGTGGAGCTGCTAGAACACAGCTGGGGTTGAGAGCCAGTCTGCTCTCCTCTGAGGATGAGCAGTCAGCTGGCAGGCTTTGCAGCCCTGCTCGCTAAGGCAGGAGTAAGCATACTCTCAATCCCCTGGCTCCTCCACTAATTCAGGTGGACACCAAAACCATGCTGGGCCCCTTGATCAGGACTCCCAAAGGGTCGAGCAGTTGGAAAACACCATGTGCTACGGCTGACCAGTATAAATCTGGACAATTCATCCCTGGCTACTTAAGGATGAAGTGTATAGATTTATGCTGGTCAGATCATCCTTAGCTATTCAACATAAATAATAATCACAAAAGCTGCTTTTTTATTGAATTCCTTCTATGTCCCAGATGCTTTAACTGGGTGCATAATTTATAGATATTTTCTCCAGTTCTTTCCACAATTCCTCAAGTTAAGTATGGTTATTCCTGTTTTATGAATAAAGAAACCAACGCTCAGAGAGGTTAAGTCACTTACCCAGTTACTGAGACGATGAAGGTGTGAGGGCAGAACAGCTAGTGAATTGCAGTGAAGAGATACACATGATTTAAACTATCCTTGTTTTCAGGCTCAGAACTAAAAGCCTAGGTTGCCAACTACGGCAAGTGTTAGAAGAACTCACAGCGTTTATATCAAGGCTGTGGCCGATGTGGAAAGTGGACAAGTCCTGCCTTTCCCCAAGCCCACTGTAATGCTTGTCATTGACCTGCTATTTGGTAGAGAATGTGAGTCTCGTGGCTCAGTTAAAGGCTGTACATCTGTGCAAATGTCAACTAGTGCTAGGGAGTAGGTCCAGAGCTTCAGTTACAATAAGCTCTGATGGGCACCAGAATCACCTGTGAGCTTAAAACACTTGTTTCTGGGGCCTTCCTCTAGATCTTCTGATTCCAGAGGTTGGTGATGGGTTGCAGGCACTTGCATTTTTTCAACAAGCTCCAGGGTAATTTTGATGTCCACCAAAGTTTGAGAATTATTATTGTCAATGTCACATTTGGGAGGATGATATCTTAGAAGTCTGAGCAGACATAATGAACTACAGTTGTAAGTTGGAAGAAAAGTCAGCTTACAAGGAATGCACGAAGGAATGTCCACGAAATGTGCACCTGGCCTGCTCACTTTGGTCAGGATTGCTTTTTCCTTGTCCTGATCAATGTCTGCTTCTTTTTACTTATACCCATTAATACTTGGGTCAAGAAGATATTGTATCAGGTCTTCAGTAAGCATTTATTTTAGTAACCCAACGAATACAGAGTTTTATGGAAACCATCCAAACTTTACTAAATATATAAAAGACAGAAATGTTGTTCTTAAAGACAATTCCGTAATTTTGTTTTATGTTTTTGAAAGTGCTAATTGTAATGGGAAGCTGATCTATCAATTTATCTGTCAAACCAAATTGCTCTCTCCATGCAGGTCATGCAGTCCCTCTGGGAGGACGTTCCTGTCATCATGATACTCACCAGCCTTCTAACCTTGCAAAATGCCAAGACAATGTTCTGGCAGTGCTATTATTTATATCTCTAGGCTCTCATCTTTCATAGGCCTAGTTTGTAATCATGCTCCTTGAAATTGTAGGAAAGAAGAGGCTACGAAGGCAAATGGGCTTCCACTTCTGGGGGAATCATCTATGAATGTATTCTCTACCTGGTACTGAAGTTCCAAGTGCGACGAACACCACTGCAGTCACAGAATCTTTCAGGCCAATGGTGCAGCCGAAGTGGGAAGCCAGGTCTCCAATGAAAGCTGTCAGTACGCCAATCATGAGGATGGAGACAATGAAACATGCCCAGCCATTCCAGTATTCTGTAGGGGGCACGAAGGCGAAGAGAACCTTCCAGAACACAGTCAGAAAGTGCATCACATAATCGAAACAGGAGGGCAGCTTCTCCTCCCCACATTCATCATCATCATCATCTTCCCCTAAAGAGAAAGGAATGAAGCACATTTCATCACAACCCATGCTTCCTCTCTCCCACTCCTTCCTTCCTAGGCCTGTCATCCCTCCCCTCTGAGTGATCAGGAGGCCAGTAGAGGTGGGTGAAATTTGAGGTTTTCTAAGAGTCAATCATAATTAACCAATTAATTATTAACATACTGACATGCCCCCTTACTGTGGCTCATGGGTCAATGGCAAAAAGTTTACCCCCCCCATCAATTTCTAGTTATTTGCAATCAATACACTCTTTCCACTCTCTTATCACCTCCAGTGAGATTTGTCATTTCAGAGAAATGAAAAGGATTTCTTCCAAAGGGCTGAAAAGCCTTGTGCCAGGCTCAGAAAGAAGCCTTCTTGATGAAAGATAACTATGACAGAGTTCTTCTACCTGGGTTCTTTCCTTCCAGCTGGGAGTCCAGCTCTGGGGATGGTCATATAATCACCTACAGAACAATGTTCAAACAGGGCCCTCAATCACAGCTCTGAGTGCTGCATATTTCTCCAGCTTCATCTCCTGCAATGACTTCAAACTCAAACTTCATCCTAGTTAAATGGAAGTATTTGCATTTTTTCAAACCATATGTACTTTCTCCTACTTTTGTCCTTTAGAAGTAAACGGTCTTGGCATGTCCTAATCTCTCCCTCCTTATCTCTCTGCACTCATCCCTTTAAAACTCATTTCCTGTGTGAAACCTTCTCTGACCCTCTCACCCTCCAGCCAGTGCTGGGACTCCTTCTCAAAGCTTCCACAGCTCCCCAACTCTTGGAACACTAGAGGAGTGGTTCTCAAAGGGTGATCCTGAACCAGCAGCATCAGCATCATCAGGGAACTTGTTAGAAATGCAAATTCCTGGTTCCAATGAATCAGAAACTAGGGGGGTGGCACGGGGCGGAGGGGGTGGCACAGCAATCTGTGTTTGAAAAACCCCTCCAGGTGATTCTCATGCACGCTCAATTAGATTGTGCCTGTTCACTTTCCTCTCTTCTCCAGTTGACTGTGTGCTCTTCAAGAGCAGGAATTTGTTCATTTTTGTTTTGCTAGTGTTTGATCCTATCTCCAGCATGAGGAATAAGCTAGCTAAGTGCTTGTTAAATGAACGCATGCATGCATGAATTTCCATTGACTTTATATAACTATTTAATTACACAATATATACACATATCACAATTCTGCCAATTACATCCTACTATCAACGTACAAAGAAATGCAGAATGCTTACTACTTAAAGGCATCAGGATATCAATAACAGTATTCTAACACAGAGATTTCATTTATAATGTGATACAATTCCCATTCACAGATTTTAAAGTGGGGATATTGAATGTCCACTCTTCTTGAAGGGGTGGCAAATATATATTCACGTGCTTTGTTGCCATTTTGGAAGGAAGAATTTCTCCTTGAGGACTTTGTCCACTGCTCTCAGCACCCCCACCTTGTTACCAGAGACCTACTGTCCTTCAGCTGATGCAGCTGGCAGCAGGTGAGGCTAGCAACCTTTCCAGCTGACTCCACGACCTGACACTGCCAGCACGGAGCAAATGCGGGTGCTCTTCAGGAGACACTCTGTGGTGAGACCATCTGGTGCAGATCACGACTGGGAAACCCACTTGAAGCAGAGGAGCTTTGAGGGAAAAGCGCCTCTCACAAAAGATGAAAAGAAGAAAGTCTGATTTTGTCACCTGCCCTCTTACAGGAAGAGAGAAGAGGCAATGGCCTAGTCTTCAAGAGCACATGGGCAGAATTAGTATGTGAACAGTCTTCGGGGATCTGTGGAGAAATCAGCCTCACCTTTGAGGCTTCAGAAGGTCTCCAACAACCGGCTGGGAGGAAGCCCCCAGCAGATGAATGGGGTCCCCTACAGAGACCAACTAGGAGGGAGCTTGTGTCAGGGCAGCTGATGGAAAACTGTGTGACTGGCTAGAGTGAAAAAGCATTGCTGACGGTGTTAAAGTTATTAAACAAGGAGGCCTCAGATGGGGTTGGCTCTGATGCCTTGGTAGCCTACGTAAGCAATCAAAACCTAACCCAGAGTCAATGACTGTAAATACACGTGGGTCTAAGAAAGATGAATTTAAGAACAGCCAATCACAAACAGCCACCTAGGCTTTCCCATATAAGGTGACCACTTAAGCTGCAGCCAATTTCCTTGCTTTGCTTCCACTTCCACCTCTGCTCTGTCAGTGTCCCCTCCCTCCCCCACCCAGCCCACCTCCACTCGCCGCCCCCCCACCCCCACCCCGACTCCGGCACCCTGCCAGGTCCTGTTGGTGGAGAGCTCCTAAACCACTTTTGGTTTGGTTCTGCCCCATCTGAATCCATGTTTGCTCAAACAAACTCTTGAAAATTTTAATGTGCCTCAGTTCCCTGTTAACAAGTTTCCTACAAGGTTACTACATATTTCTAATATCGTCCTTGCCTGAAAGCAGATGCTTTTAAATAAAAGCCCATGTTATGGGCTCAGCTGTGTCTCCCCCAAATTCGTATGTCAAAGCCCTGAGCCCTAGTACCTCAGAATGTGACTGTATTTGGAAATAAGGCCTTTAAAGAGATGCTTAAGTTACAATGAGGCTGTTAGGGTGGGCCCTAATTCAATCTGACTGGTGTGCTTATAAGAAGAGAAAATTGGGACACCCAGAGAGACAGCAGGGATGCGCACACGTGGAGGAAAGACCAAGTGAGGACACAGTAAGAAAGCGGGCCTCCCTTCTCCCAAGTCAAGGAGAGAGGCCTCTGGAGAAACCAAACCGCCAGCACCTTGGTCTGGGACTTCTATCCTCCAGAACTGTGAGAACATTAATTTCTATTGTTTACGCCATTCAGTCTCTGGTATTTGTTTATGGCAGCACTCGCAAACGGCAAACGAATGCAGCACCCCTTCGGCAGTCATAACACTGATATGTGGGAACAGCCACTCCCTGTTTCTCTTACTCATTCCTTTCTTGTCTCCTTATCCACTTCTTATTTTTTTCCTTCTTTCACTTTTCTTCCCATTTCCCTTTTGGCTCCAGGTAGAACTCACTGTGTCAGCTGCAATTTTCAGGGCTTATGTGAGGGAGGGAGGAAGAAGAGAACCATCTTAATTGTTTCTCTGTCTCCTCTTCTCCCCCATTCCCTATTCCAAGGGGGGGAGGGGTTGCACAAACCCCAAGAAAGCTCAGAAAAAGAGCTAGACTTTCTAGTTATATTTATTTTGTATCTGATTCTTTTCCATTTCTATATTTGTGTACATTTTATAATTTCACAGGGTATATGATTCAAACAGTTTGGAAAACACTGAATTTTAATCAATCATACACAGAAACAGATTATTCTGCCTTTTAACTCTGCAAAATTACTTAATTTGCGGTGTCTAAGTCTCATATTTGTGAAGATGAACAAGAAAACAAATAATGAAACTTCTCAAAAGAAATGACACTCATAAATTGAGAGTAGACATTATATTTGTCTTCAAGATGGAAATAATAATACCTTTCCCATGAGAGATGTGCAGGGGAATAATTAGATCATTTCTGCAAAGTGTTTGAGAATATTTCAAAAGAATGATTATCATGGTAGGTATCATTATTTTCCTCCACTTAGAATTGTTACTGTGTTTGCCATCATTATTTCATTGCTTAGCCCACACGCTGGGTCCTAAGGTTACATTCTAGGCTTTTAGAAACAATTTAATCTTGCCCTCTGGAATTAAGTTGGTGACCTAGAAGTGTACAATGCAAAAAGTGTGTGTGTGTGTAAGAGAGAGAGAGAGAGACAGACAGGCAGACAGACATTTCCTTCTGTAGGTTTCCAGCATTATAAGGAATCTTAAATATTTTAATGCTTAAGTCTGGAATGGAAGGCCCATCTGTTTTACTGCATTTGAAAGTAGAAGTGGCTTCCTATCCTTTTTCCTGGGATCTCACTGCTCCTTACAAATTTTAATCTCCAACTCAGATGTCATTTAAATAATAAAAATGACCACTGACTGCCATGCATGATACACAATTATCCAGTCTTGGAGAAGGACAAAGAAATATTATGTTCATCCATCACCATCTGGACTACACTTAAAGTCTGTTCCCTGTGAAGAGCAGTGGAGCATTTAAAAAAACCACCTGGGAGCATCTTTTATGTGACGGCAAACATGACAGTAATCTGCTGGTTCTGTACATTTGCCAGCTTGGGGTTACTGGAGGCTACGGAATTCTTTTGAGTCTCTCCTCTGCATTAACAAAGAAACAAGCAGTTTGGTGCATTTCCTTTTATAGGATCCCAAGCAAAGGATCCTCTTATCTCAGAATCCTTCTTTTCAGCTTTATGGATTCCACTAATGGAAAGATAACAAACAAGCTGTATTCGATTAATTGTTCCCATGGCCTTTTAAATGGTTTCCTTGATACGTGTTGGACTTCCTAAATATAACTGCAAAAACAGCCAAGTCATTAAAACCACAGATAATGGAGAGAGCATCACTTCAACTATTGATATAATGGTACTTGCACTGACCCTGCTCTGGAGCATGAGAACAAGGGCATCATCAGAACAACTGATCACGAAAGGGAACCCCTGGGCTTGGCAGCTGCAGACAACACAGCGTCTGAACTAAACCAGGTGTTAGTTTATATCCCTCCAGACGTGCTCAGGGTTTGGCCCTGGGGAGAGCTTTGAGAACCAGAAAAAGAGGCTGCTGGGGTGTAGTGGACACTTGGGTCGGAAGACTTGTCAGTTTCTGGTTCTAGCTTATTTGGGGGCAAACACTTGACCTTCCTGAGCCTCAGTGCCTCATCTGTTAAATGACTTTCCTAACTCCCACATCACAATGGTGAGGCCCAGCAGAGGAAATGTCGCAGTCCTTGGCAAAACTGTAAACCCCTTTACAGACAGATGTGCCATATGCCATCACTGGTACTTGTCAGAAGGAAGGCGGTAAATCAATACAACTTGAGTATCCTGATTTCACAGAATCTATATTCTGTTTGAATGAGCCATTATCATTACAGCTTC